CTGGAACTGTGAGGTGAACAGAAATTAAGAAGCAAATGTGGCATAAGAAGGAGGAAGCTATATAAATATTCAGGATAACTACTTGTTCCAATAGAGGAGAATAAATGTAGCTCAGGGTTGAACTGTGGAGTCCTTGGTGCTCTCTGAGCTTGGTTGTTTGCTTGCAGACATTTCATTACCCGACTAGGTAACATCATCAGTGCTGGACAGAACTACTTGTGATTTTTTTCTTTGATTCTAGACTCTGTTACACTCTCCCAGATTCCCTGTACAGCAGACTTGGGAGGGGAAAACCCCTCCACAACCTGCCAACACACCTGGCATGCAAAGGATTTGAGCAGGGAGAGCATCACTTCAGAGATCATGTGGAGAGCAGCACTGACTTAAATCAGTGAATCACAAGGAGAACCTGGGAGGCAGCCACAATCCACCGAAGACAACTGGAGGGGAAGGGCCATGTGTGCAATAGCCCAAAACAGCCAGTAGGAGCTGGGCAGATTCCAGGCCCTGGCAATAATCAGCTCAGTTGCCACCAAAGTACCATATATCAAGCTTCTGTTGGGAGAAGATGGAATATGCTACCTGCACATTGGATAAGTAAACAAAAGTTAGCTGGCCTTGGCTGGGGATGAGAGGAAGGGATGGACATGTGGACATGTCCTTGAAGAATGGTCAGCAAGGCATCTTCGAGCTGAAGTTACGGAGATGTGCACATGCATATGGCAATCCTACGTTCCTCAGTGGAGGAACACTTCCCAGATTGCTTTGGCCCAAGCAGAAAAGGTGGTTGTGTGATCGTTCTGTCCTATCCTAGCCTATCCTTTTTTTGTCTGGCAGGGCTCTTTTGGTAGCATATCAGTAAAATGAGGCCTCTCTGGATTTGGTGGATGCAAAATTGCCTTTGATATAACATAGTTTAGCTTCTACTTCTGACAGAAGTTAGAGACATTATAGCAAAAGAGCTTTCTGTCACCATACCAGGAGTCCTCCAGGACAGGCTCTATACTCCCATTGCTCTTCTTACCAAAAAAAGAGCACTCATGCTGCTTCCTATAATCTCTCAGCTGGCCTGTTACATACTCAGAACAAAGAGAAAAAAAAAAGCTGGATTTAATAGGACTTCTAAGTAAACGTGTTTTGGATTCCTGTGAAACACTGGTTGCCATGTTTGTGTGCTACAGGCACTACCTGCCTGGTATATCCTGCATGTGCACACAGACACAGACACAGTTCCAAGTACTTTCATATATGAGTTCAGAAAGAAACATGGGATACAACAGTTCATAGCAGCAGTAATTACTGAGGATACTCCTTTCCTTCTAGCAATGTTTTACTAGGATACTTAAAAAATTAAATAGCAGAGTGCAGTTGGAAAGACCAATGGCTTCTGTTGTGAATGTGCCCTGGGCTCTCATCATACATTCCAGGAATATCCAAACTGTAGCCAGAGGCCACACGAGGCCCCAAAACCTTGTGGCCAGCCCCACAGCTTCTCCAAAAGTTTCTGTCAAATTGTAATTTTTCGAATAAAGGCAAAATAGGAAAATTATTAAATGTATGTAATCATATTCACTTTTTTGAACTGATTTAATTTTATTTAAATTGGCTCCATCCTCTTTTTGGACTGTGCCTGCCAGCAGACCATTCAAAGATTTTAAAAAGTTGTATTCCCTTATTAAACACAGTTTCCTTTTCTATAAAAATGGCACAGACCATCTTTCATTCTTGTATTTCATCCCCTTTTCACACACACACACACACACACACACACACACACACACACACTGAGAACTGAGGATAGCCCAACGCATATAATAAGATGTGCTGTAGTTCATAAAAGCTTATGTTACAGTAAATCTGTAAGATTGTAAAAAGATTTTCCTAGTTTGTGAAGTATCAGAAGTGATAAAGTAGTGCCATCTAGTGAGATATTGGTATAACTGCATTTAGTAGAAGTTCTGAAAGGTTCACTTAATTATTTTTCAAAAAATCAAATTTGAAAGAGGTCGTGTTTGATATCTCAGTTGCAAGATTATTTAAAATCAAAGTCATTCCATTAAATTTTTACTGGTTTGCCTTTTGGAGATGTCTTGCTTTTCAATGAAAGGGCAGAGTTTTTCAGGTTTAACTTCTTTTCTGAGTCTTTAGACATCAAGTTCATATATAAAAAGAGGTGCACTTTGATTCTCTAGGATATCTGCAGTTATGTACATACTTATAGACATTTAATAAAATACCAATATACACTGCTTCTCTTCCATCCTATAATCCCCAGTTCAATTTATAAAGTGATGAAGGAGAATGGCAATCATCTGGTAAATCCAAGGCTAGTGTAAAACTAACTCTGTTATTAAAACCTTTTTTAATATAGTTTTTTTTTAATTGGCATAATTTTACTGATCCACTCTGTTCCAGTAGTCAGTGCAGACAGGCTATTCCAAAATAAATGAAATTACAGCATGCAGAGCAAAGGTTCCAATACTGATGCTCAGTGACAAGAGTGAATTAGCATTCTGATTCATTACATATTCCTAATTCCTATGTAGAAACATGAATGCATCAGCAGCCTGAGTGAGGAACTGAGGTGCCCTTGCAACTCAAAATAAGCTTTGGTCTGAGGTATTTATAATATAAAAATAATATAAATATTGTAAGAAGGAAATCAAAT